AATTCGCAGTTGTAAGCACAAAGTCATATTTCTTTAAGGGGTTTTTAGTATTATATTTAGAGCGTTTGTATTATTGTTCTCGTCACACTTTCTATCATTTAATCCCACATATGAATTGACCATTCGATATGGTTCATCGGTAAATCAGTGATTGAGTCAGATTTAAAAACTTTAAATTCTTTTTTAAAGGCGTTTTTATATACATGTAAAAATAAGAAGATGTGGTATGATAGCCAATTAGACAACTCTCCACAAGAGACCAAATGGCATAGAGGTTAACAACTATAGGTCAACGTGCTGCCTTTAGCAGTGAGCCTCACTTTGAGAGCATTTCTCTCTTTGCCACTGCTTCTGATGTACATAAATTTTCTGTAGATATATTAAGGCGCAGCATTTTATTTTTAATTGTTAATCAACAAGCTTGCAACCGTGCCCCTATAAACTTTATATAAGATTTTATAAACCATTGTAAGCTTCTTATGTTTTCCCCCTGAATGGATGTTTGCTTAATATTAAGTAGCAGATATTACATGACGATTTTGGACAAAAGTCTTACAATATCGATTATATCATTTTATATGTATAACTATTTGTATCCATCTGTTGAAGCCTTTTTCAACCGATTTTTATAGTTTGTTCTTATGATGTACTGTTACACCACTGTCCAAGGTTAGGGAGAGTGTTGAGCGCTCACAAACATGTTTAACCCCGCCACATTCTTTATCATTCATTCCTGTCCCAAGTCAGGAGCCTGTAGTTCAGTGGTTGTCTTTGGTTCATGAAAGTCATATTTGTTTTTCGTAAACTGTTTTGTTATAAATTAGTTTGTTAGTTTTCTCAATTGAATTGTTTCATATTTTCATGTCGGGTCCTTTTATATCCGACCTTACGGTATGGGTTTTTCTCTTTGTTGAAGGCCTTACATCCACTTCATTTGAACTTTGGTGGATAGTTTTCTCATTGGCAATCATACCACATCTCCTTATCTTTATACAGTACTTTTGAATTAGTTTCCTTTTGATTACGTTAATGTTAAGGTTCGAAAAGTTAATACGTATCGTAACTAAATACAGCCAAACTTCCAAACCAAATACTTGTATCAATGCAAAGTTCTAGTAAATGTTAATAGTTATTTGTGGTAACGAAATCCTTGACTTAAAAATTTACCAATAATTTAAAGATACGTTCATCGAAATCCAAAATGTCACTACAGACATAAGCATAGCGAACAAGTTTGGATATGTTAGCGGCAATAACTGAAATTAGGCATTAAGCTTAAATCCTAGGCAATAGGCTAACGCCTAGGCAGTAAGTTATAGACAGAAATTTTCACGCATTCAGCTTATTTCCTGAAATCTGATGAAGATTATACCACCTATTGCCGATCATCATTTCACATGTTTCAGGCAATAAGTTTAACTTGGGTTTTTTGTTTTATATTCCAAATACATGTACATCCGGTGAAGTATTCTCTATGAATAATATTTTAAAAACTATATTCCAAAATTTAATATACATTAATTTAAAAAATATTTGTGTTTCAAGGAAAAGGGGGAATTGAATATACTATCTGAAAGTTGTGTAAAGGAAATTGTCTCTTCACCTATCGAGCCAGTTAGAGCTGGTCACAAATAGACAATTTTAGATAAGAATTTTTGCCAGTCACATTATCTATCAATCGGTTTTGTTGAATATATAAATTTTCTTAAATTTTCTTAGGCTATTACAACTAAATATGGTTAGACATTTTTTTACCATTGAAGGTTTGAATGGCTGGTTACTAAAGTAGACAAGAATGATGAGGGAATTTTCAAAGTTTATGTTTTTCTAGAGGAACTGTAAGGTATTTTTTGAAAATACATAAAGAAATAGGTCATAGCGGCCTATCATTATTGTAGTCCGTATAATAAAACAACCTAATAATGGCTTTGCAAATATTTTCCATGATTTCATTGTACTAATTCTTCCATTTTGTTAAAATTGTAACATGATAAAAAGCGCATAGGGAAGAGGGTATCACATAAGAAAATAAAATTTTGTTATGTGATACCCCCTTCCAAATCCTCTTATATCAAAAAGTGCTTCAAAGGTGGCTTCTAATTTAATTGATGTTTTCACAATTTTTCGTGTGGCACTTAAACAGCAAAGTGAAAAAGGTCGTATATTTACAGCTTATGTTTGGTTATATCCGAATTAATGCTATTGTGGCAAGAACTAGTTATTGTTCACGGTAAGCCAATACATTCCCAATCACAGGCTAGAATGAGTGGTCAAAAGGAAATATTTATAACATGCTTACTGCACGGATGAGGGACAATGAATTAACTATGTGGTCAGTTAGAATCAAATAAATCCATATACAAATGAATTCTGCTCTACACAGATGTATTGGACAATCACCAGTTGCAAATGCTTGAAACTTAAAAACTTTGCAATCGTCTTTGCCATATCTCAGCATCAAGTGGTAACAAATAAATTTCGATACAATTTTCTATCAATGTTAAAATAAAGAGATGTGGTATGATTGCCAATGAGACAACTATCCAACAAGTTAACATAGATTTTATGAGGTTTATTCGATGAGTTTTGTTATCAATATTTAACTAATGATTAAGTTCAGATAATTGACATTTATACTTCAGTTCTTATTATTTTAGTATGTATCAAATGTATTTTAACTTTAAATAAACTTCTTTTTATTACTCTCATTTTCATTTCATTAATGCATGGAGATAATTTTCAGGAATTAAGATTATATCCTAGGATTTAAGAATAATGTGCCTTACATTATTTAGGCAATAGACTTACTGCCTAGGCGTTAGCTTATTGATTAGGATTCAAGCTTAATGCCTAATTTCACTTATTACCGCTAACAGATATATAACACCGTAAGAAAGGACAAATGGAAAATTAATAATAGGGCACTTTTGTGTGATAATATTGTGTGATATTGTACTGAAGGTTTACAAAGTCAAAAAGTCAAAACTGTCAACCGAACTAAAAGTGCCACAATATCATGAAATAAACTCATCATAGATACCAGGATTTGAATTTATCTCAAACATTATAACAAAATAATTTTTAACACTCCAGAGATAGTTAATGCCATTATTTCTGTATGCTTTATACAGAAGTAAATGGTAATTTGTTTTATAATTTATTGTCACATTGTATAAGGGAGATTGATTTTACAAAAGATTTTACTTTTAATTACCATTCATTTATTCAATGTCATTAAGCATCAATGCAACACACAAATTGAACTAACAAGAAATAATGAATAAAACAATGAACAGAAGGTGTAATGTTTCAGTAATAAGCGACATACTATACTCTACTGTATCGTTAAATCTTCAGTTACAAAAGGCAATATTCATGAAGATATGATATGATTGACCATTACAAAGTACAATCGTTGCTAACAGATAACTAACATGAGCACAAGCATAGTACATATTTAGTTCCGGTAAGGAGACTTTTCAGTCTTCAGGAAGAAAACCAACCATATTTATGGAGCTTGTCGACAAGTTGGTGTGTCTCAGGAATATATTTCGTCTTAAGGGAATATCGTACTTTTTGAATGAGCTTAACATGAGTTATCATTTGAACGATCTACTTTGCACCCATGCCTAGTCCGTTTAATTTGATGTTACATGTATTTTTGAACATTTTTGCATGAACGTTTTTCTTTTTCTTTCGATATGGTAAACATTGTATTTTAAGGGCTTAAGAGCTTAATTGCTTAGTCATGGCGTTGTCAGTTAATTCTCGACTTATGAGTGTGAATGTCCTTCTGGTATCTCTTTTAAAGAAGTCGTCTTACAGATTTGATCAAAATAAACAGTTTTCAAATGTAGATCTTTATATTAGAAACAATTCTGCCCGGTCAAATTTTCTCTTTTGATAACATCTGGTCAAATTCGCTTCCATTTAGCATTGAACATTCAAAGAAGGAGATTTGTGTAAAAGTTTACCGACAACGGACGATGGTAATGAAAGAAACAGAAAAATAACATAGAAAAACAAATTTTCGAGCAGAAAAACGATTGTCTAAACATACAGAGACATAAAGACAACCACAACTGGTTGAGATTTAACTATTAAACTATTTAACAGCGACGTATAGTTGACCAAAACGTTTGTGTAATCATTTCTTATAACTGATGTGCTGTTTATTAATTACAACTAGAACACACCCGCGACATGTCGCGGGTCTTTGACTGAATTAAAATTTTAAATATGTATAAGCCTTATTTTTAGCCTGGATTTTTAGTATTGGTATTGTCATATGATAAAGTCATGTTGATTATAAATGCACGGTTTTCTCTGTTTTCAAAATCTTTTTGTTTGAACCCCTCGACCAGGAACTTATCCTTTATTTGTAATATTAATTATTTGGAAAACAAAAGGACCTGGAATGATGTATTGTTTAATCAACACCATTGTCCTATATTAGTTATATATAAAGTTGAATTATTTGATTCGCCGTTTTTACGTCATGCCGGCTAACAAATTGGAAACTGTACAGATATACGCCTTATTTTAAGTCTGGATTTTTTGTATTCGTATTGTCATCTTGTAAAGTCATGCTGATTAAAATACTACAACCAAAACAATGTGACAATGATTGAATTTAGAAGTGTCAACCCTGTATAAGTACGAAGTGTAGGTGTGATTATGACCCGTGTATATAGCAAATCCAAAATACACCGTTTGGTGGTGCGCCTGACAGATGCGGAACATACAGATTAGGTAATAGGTAACAGGTGACATATACTATTGGTATCGGTATCGGATTCGACCCGGAGCTTGTTAATTATTGGTTATATTAATTATGTAGAAAACAAAAAAGGTCTGGAATGGTGTAATGTTTAATCAACACCATTGTCCTATATAATTAGTTATAAATATAGTTGAATTCGTTGATTCGTCGTTTTTACCCAATGCCAGCTAACAAATTGGACCTCGTTATTTTAGTATTATAGATGAGGAACAAAGAGTAAAATACAAGCAAAACATTATGCAACCCAATATACATTTATTTATAATTTATTTCCGGTTCATTAATATCACTGCCACATGTTCATTCATCCAGTATTTCTCCATTCCCAATGACGCTTTATTCAAGAGATATTCGAATTGTTCAATAGTATGTTTGGAGCTAATCCCGCCATCTTCGTGCAGGTATAATCTTTCTCCTTTTTGAAATTCCCGGGTTAAATCTAATTTTCCTATAATATTGATAAAATTAACTCAGTATAAATATTTAAATGAGTGAGATAAATGTATGATAAGTGCTCCTTGCTCCTCAAACTGCTATCATAGAACAATTAATCTACTCTTTAAAAATACATTTTGAATTATTGATACAAATATAAAAAAATATATTTAGTATACAGAATGTAATTAGATTAATTATTATAATTTCATGTTTTCGATTTCAATGGCATAAAACTACTTTATTATATCTTCTTATTTCACAAAACATTAGAAAATGTCGCATAGATGTCGAGTTTTTTTTCCCTTAAAATTTGAAAACAAAGTTGTCTTTTTAATGCCAAACATTTGTTCGCTGCGCTCCGCATCATTACTAGCGTTGAGCCCCGACTAACCTAACCCTCTAATTATACGTCCCTGTTCAAGAATACATATTCTATATGCCACCTAGGTTTGTAAAGGAATCTATTGTATACACATGCATGATGCAAGTAAAGCCATTGTTAAACATTTAGCTTCAATATTATAGACCTAACCATGTCATATAAACTGGACCTGCAAAGCATCGTATTAAAAAACAAAATGATCTCAATAAAAAAAGCTGCTGAAGATTTGGCATACACTGTGCGTATTGTTATGCGTTTACTTTTCTACATTGGCTAGAGGTATAGGGGGAGGGTTGAGATCTCATAAACATGTTTAACCCCGCCGCATTTTTGCGCCTGTCCCAAGTCAGGAGCCTCTAGCCTTTGTTAGTCTTGTATTATTTTTAATTTTAGTTTCTTGTGTACAATTTGGAGTTTAGTATGGCGTTCATTATCACTGAACTAGTATATATATTTGTTTAGGGGCCAGCTGAAGGACGCCTCCGGGTGCGGGAATTTCTCGCTGCATTGAAGACCTGTTGGTGGCCTTCTGCTGTTGTCTGTTCTGTGGTCGGGTTGTTGTCTCTTTGACACATTCCCCATTTCCATTCTCAATTTTACTGTTTGTTAAAAAACTGTTATACAGACTCTGAAGTGTTTGATTCTTGATGTAAAACGAGGAATGTCATGTGTTTTTGACAATATTTCAATTTCTAAATTGTTTGGCTTAATTTGCGAGATAAAAAGTAAACAGTATAGTCATTGGCAGTGTTTTTGTTATACAGTTTCTAGTAGCAACTTTGATTAACAGTTACTGTACAATTCAAGTTAAAATCTTTAAATCAATGAAAAACATACCTCCCTTGTGCACAGGTTAGTAAAATATAAACTTATTCCTTTCAAAAGCGTGAACTTTCCAGAGCACCTGAGATCAACACAAGTTATAGGTGGGGTTCTTTTTGCTCAGTCTCAAGTTTACTATATTGTGTTTTGTAAACTGTTGTTTATCTTTCGGTCGTTTTTCGTTTTTTTTTTGCCATAGTGTTGTCACTTTGTTTCGACTTATGAGTTTGAATTTTCCTTGTATCACATTCCGCAATGTCGAATTTCTGGATTAATTCTCAGTGAGAACGCTCGTGACTGACAAGTCTAACCCAAATCTTAAAGGCAATTAGCGTGTGGGGTCGGCAACGTTATATAATTACAGCAATTACAATTTCTTTTTTTTATTTTACATAGAAATTTTAGGCCGACGTCACTAAACATCATGTCATGACTAATACAAAGTAACTTGAGATTTTGTGCTGACTTTTGAAAGTTTTTGACTAAACATTGGGGCAGGCACAAAAATATTTAATAGTTTCTATATTGTTTAGAGTATTTAAAGATCTGACGTTAATAGCAAAGTCCGCAAATGAACTTTCAAAATTGGGTGGCACTGTCTTTTCTTGTATAGTTCCTTAACCTTAGCAGATACATAGATTTTGGGTATGTTTAACATTTATAGGATTTTTATTCTCATACTAGCATAATAGTTGTTTCTTCCTATATAACATATTATGTAGAAGAATGTCATTTTACTTCAGAATCAATTTTGAATATCAAATAATTTAGAAATGAAAAGAAATAATTTGGTGTATATTTCTGATTTTCATTGTGAAAGATCTGTTATATCATTTTAAACGAGGTACATGTTTGCCATCGACTGGAGTTGTCACTATTAGCTAGATAAGACGAGTTTACTATGGTTGTCAAAAAAGCCTAAAACAAAATTAGCGAATATTGAAAGTTATAAAATCAGCTTCATATTAAAATAGTTTATTTATGATATGTTTAAGAACATCTGAAAAATATTAAGCCGACCAATTAAAATAACACGAAAAAAGACAGACAATAACGTGGTCTAAAGATATAAGAGCAAAAGATAAATAACGGTTTAGTACTATTGTTTGTCTTTTGGTTTTTTTTCCTTTTTAGCCATGGGTTGACAGTTTATTTTCGACTAATGAGTTTGAATGTCCCTCTGGTATATTTCGCCTCTCTTTTCCTCCGATATTGGTTTGATTTGTATATTTAGAATTTTTAATTTCATGTGTAGGATTTGGTAAACCGTTATTTATATTTTGCTCTTATGTCTTTAGACCATGTTATTGTCTGTCTTTTTTTCACGTGATTTTAATTGGTCGGCTGTTGGTAACTTCTTACTATTTTTCAGATGTCAATAAACATATCATAAAAAAAAAATATTTGAAGATGAAGCTGATTTTATCACTTTCAATGTTCTCTAATTTTGTTTAAGGCTTTTTTATCAGATATAAATGTACGGAATCCTCTGGTTTTATCCATGTAGTGCTATTAAAACTTTGCCCGGCAACCCCTACTTTTCTTTTGATAATTTTATTACAAATAGGTAAAAGCGATTTTAAAAAATCTAGTAAAATCCTTATTATTTTTTTCATAGTTTTTTTATTTGGAAAAATGTGCAAATGATAAATGTATGAAAAGTCAATAAAAAATCATTTCCTGCCAATTTTTTTCAATGACTTTTAATTTCAAAACAAGGACACGGACCTTTCATGTTGTTCTACCTTTTTTTACATCATTTATAATCTATCAATTTATAATAGTCTATAACTGCTGACTGTTCCCGAGCACATAAGCCCATCACAAGTTTTAAGTGGGGTTTTTGTTGTTTAATATTTTGTTTCTCGTGTAGTGGACGTATATCTTACTATACAAGTTTGATAAGCCATCTGGATTTACAATATTATCAAATGCGAACAGATCTTACAAAACAACGTTGTTAACTAAAAATATAAGTATTTTTTACTAACAATGCAATTATATTATATCCTACTACAAAACAACTTACAATTATATCATAGATTGAGACATAATTGTATAATATGCATAGTTCAACATTGCATACGTTTTTTTTTTGTTATAACACTAATATTTATAAAGGCGATCAGTCGAAGACACCGAATTGCCACCAGTAAATAACTACATTCGATAAGAAAGTTAAAACCTTTGCACATTTTAATATATCTTCTAAATCTTGTCAATAACTACAGCAGTTTTGGTTTCTATTTACTAGTAAATGATAATTGGCTAGATTCAGCAAAGAAGTTGTGTTTGCTGGTTGCTGTATGTCATATTTTATTTTCGTTTATTATTTTTTTTTCATAATTAGGCTAATGGTTTGTTCGTTTCAATTGTTTTATATTTCATGATGTCATGTATTATCGCTAACTTCACGGTATTAGTCTTGCCCATTTTAAAGACTATATGGTCATCTATAGCTGCTTAAAACCACATTATTTCGACGGGGGGTATTGTCTCATTGGAAGACATACCACATATCCTTCCTTTGCAATCATTCATGGTTTGAATTACAAAACACACTTATCAATAACGGTCATATTCGTCTATTTACAGTTCCATATATACACATATCCATGCTTTAAACAAGGACAAGAGACTGTCTAAAAATATTGTATGCCATACTGACAACGATTGAAAACCAAACTTGTACATCCTTGACCAATAAATTTAGTCATACTTGTTTTATACAAACCTATGTGAACCTCAGAATTCTCGATTGCCTCTATCTACACATTCACGTAGCTACAATTATCTGACTTTGAATTCGCCACCAATTCATTCTTAATTTTGAACTTTGATATATCAACATTAGCATTCATTTCTCTGTTCAAGCGATGGATGGAATTAAGATAAAAACTTTCGCTGTATCCTGCAGAAAGAATATTTATCATAATCAATTTAGAGATGATACATAAAAGACAAATATAAAAGTGCGTTTAAGATAACACAATATTGCATATACAGTATGTCCTCACATGATTTCATAGACAATCGTAGATTCCAGTATGATTTCATTACAAACTAGGGAAATATGCCAGTAAAACATGAAAATATTCAACGAACCAGAATATGAAAATGCTAGTATATTCTTTTTACAAAGTTTAAATAAAAATGAGGAACGAACTGTACAATATCAAAAATGTTACATTAAAAAATGTTTCGTAGAAAATACAAAATTAAAGATTTTGACTTTTTTATATTTATCATAATTGTATATTACGTTTAATGAGATATATGTAGTATCAAACACATGGAGACTAATATTTACCTTCAGGATCTAGGTAGGAAAGCTCTATAATGTCTTTACGAGATGTGTCTGTCACATCAAATGTAATCAATAATTTGTCATCGACTGCAACAAGATGTCAAGTAATAATTAAAATCATTCAAGACATCATGAGTACTGCAATTGAATAAAAAAGAAATATGTGTATACCGGTACACGTAACTAATTTGATTTTGGATGTAACACGTCTTCTGAATGGCTGAAAGTGTTTTGTCGACATAATTCTGTCATGTGACCGTGACGTCACCAACGTTTTTTTCAAAATGTACTCCTAACAAATGGAATTTTAGAAATAAATTATGAGAAATGACTGTAATTTTTTTTTGTCTATTTGAAATAACCTAAGAAATGTGTTGCATACTTTTAAATACTCGGGTTATTCAGTGTGCACCACATGTTTAATGTTATTTATTCATAGATAAAAAAAATATTACAGCCATAATAAAGAATCCTTAAGCGAAAAAAATATTTTTATTTACATGCAGTACCAATATGTACATATACGGGGGTTATTGTTGTGTTGTGTAGATAGAAAAAAAGAACGACATTGACGTAATATCTGTCTTTCTGTACAATACAATTTCATCTTCGGTGTTGTTTTCTTAATTATTATGTATTTAGTATGATATTTGATGTGCTCACTTGAATTCACAAGTTTGATCCCCAGCATGACTTGACGTTAAACAAATCATGCCAACATATTTAATAAGTGTGGCAAGTTCATCTTTTATAAACTCAGCGTTTTGAAGAAGTTATAACACATTCAAAATTCTACTTTCCGTTTTAAACATTGACATTGTATAAAGCATATTTAAGTGGTCGCTCAAGCAACTGCCATACTAATGAGAGGTTTAGATAGCTATAAAACCAGGTTTAACCCACCATTTTCTACAGAAGAAAATTCCTGTACCAAGTCAGGAATATGACAGTTGTTATCTATTCGTTTGACGTGTTTGATCTTTTTATTTTGCCTTTTGATTAGGGAATTTCCATTTTGAATTTTCCTCGGAGTCGGTATTATTGTGATTTTACATTTTTTCATACATATACTAATTTTTTATTGGCTGCAGGACGAATAACCTGATTTGTATTGTGTTTCAATTTATGTATACGCATCCCGATATTACAATTATAATCTCTGTCAATCTAATCAATCATTACATAATTAAAGAGATGTAATAAGTTTGCCAATGAGATAACTATCCCTCCTAGTTCAAATGACGTGGATATGAGTAATCATAGATCGCCAGAAAGCCTTCAAAATGAGACCAACCCATACCGTGAAGTCTTTTAGGATATAAAAGTTCACGATATAAACATGTGGAACAATTCAAACGAGGAGGCAAACAGCTAAATTTATACCAATATAATTCACGAAATACAAATATGGCGAAGTTGAACCAACGACAATATCTGAATTACTGCCAAATAAAAATGCGAGGTTTAACGTTTGTGTTTGCTCAATCCTTCTTCTATCCTCGGACACTAACAAACGTTTTGTTGTTTTTTTTTCTCAATGAAAGTATAAATACCACGATAATATTTGCTGACAATAGAGAACAGGATTGTGGTTACGATGTATATACCACGCAAATGTTTTTGAACGGTCAGCTGAATCATGATGGCTACGGAAAAACGTCAGAGTGATTGCGTCAAATTTATCATTTCAAACCATTGATGTAATAGCTTTATTAAAAAAGCAGTACACAAACACGTCAGTAACAGGTACATGTATTTTTTATTTTATTTTGGGGGTTTTTAAAATTCATTCGAGATGAAACCTAATGACGATCAAATGTTTAGCAGGTTTCAGCCAAGTGTTAGAAAATGAAAATTCAAATCTATATCAACGTTTATATGTAATAAAAGTTCAGCACTGGAGATATAAAGTACTTTAAAAGGACTCAAACGCCGGGCTTGACATATCCAGCGTTTGCTTTTAAATCTACAGCGCTAGACTTTACAAATCCAGCGCTTGACTTTAAAAACCACGACTCTTTACATGTATGAGAACAACATGACTCCCTACATTTCAGTATGTGAATCTTTGACAGACATTGTGTCAGTCCATTGATCGATATAGCAAAGGTTTGTATTGACATTTAACAACACTCATGCGCCTGCCACTAAATCCTCCGGTTGTTTTATCATGTCATATCTTATTTATTAATAAGTAGAGAATGGGTGTTCATAGTAAGTTTTGAATTAATTTTGATTCATGTATTCACAATGGTGATCCACTTGACATAATGAACGATAAATTGTCTATTGTTGATGGCTGCATGTTGCAATATGAATGTCTTTTGTTTGATTCCGTCGCTATTTTGGAGCCTGGGGCCTCGGTGGCCAAGTGGTCTAAGTAGTTCTACTACTGTAATCACTAGCCAGTCAACACTGAGGTTGTGAGTTCGAACTCCGCTCATGCGGGTGCACTCGACTCCAATCTTGATTGACTATGATTGTCAGTTTTCCTATCGAAGGTCGGTGGTTTTCGCCGGGCACCCCGGCTTCCTCCACCAATAAAAACTGGCCGCCACGAAATAGCCCAAATGTGGCGCTTAAAAGTGGCGTTTAAACACCATCAATCATTTTTGGGCCTCATTGAACTACAGTTTACCCAAAATGCCCCTTTGTTCAAAAGATTTGATTTTATATGGTGGACGGACAGACGAACGGAAGTAAGGATGTACGGAAGAAAGGAAAAACTGACGAATGATCAAGTTCATCACTTCATTTCTTCTTCGCCTAGAGTACCTTGCATAGTGTTTCGTATTTCCAATAGAACATCTAACTGCTTTTCATACGATAAACTCTGCAAACTTCCAAACCATACAATTATTTTTTTATCTGTCATAGTTCTGTGAATGAAATAATGGGGGAAAAGTTACTAATTACTTATTAATTAATGCATTTGGAAGCTTATATAAGCTAACGTATTCAAGACTCGCAAGATGCTTTATTTTTGGAAACATAAATCGGAATTTATAACTCAGTCTGAAAAAAAGGTTGTAAGTTATAGAATTATTTTAAGACAATTTTTTTTTTCATAACAAAGAGAAACAAAATATATTTTTTTAATCGATGTATTTTTTTCTTTTATAATTTTCAAACAAAAACAAGCTATTTTTTTTAACCTTCTGATACTACAAGAATTAAAAAAATAGCGTCGCTCCCCGCACATAAAAATGATGTAAAGTCGGTAGCTGTAAACATTTTCTCTGGCAGAAGTATTATTCTATAAATATTTGCAAAATTATGAATACCTTATCATCATTGGATACAAGCGATTTGGTTTTTGTGGGTGGTTATTTTTTGGTTCACCGGACTACAAACCACACGACAGCTTGAATATATATCGCGATTCTATATTGCCTGCATTGCCTCTGTGTTAGGAAACAATAAAGCATAGAAATTCGGAAAGAGAGCTACTATGAGCTCATGGGAGCCAAGCGACAGTCTCCATTTGACATCCTATCTTAAAAACTTCTTTCAAAGTGAAAGGCCCAACTTTTTATTCAATAAAGAACTATGCGTCGTTTTCGTAGATATTCCAATGAAACATTCAAACAAACAAGGATGCAACATTGTAAGCCAATTAAGATTAAGTCCCTTTAGTATACAAACAGAATCTACCTGGGTTTGCAAGCTCATTTTCTGTATCTCTGAAAGACAGAATTTTCAATATTATTTTCAATGCTATCCATAGACATTTTTATAAATATACTAACTTTACTTTTCTCAGTGCTGCCATGTATTCCTCTCCGATTGGTTGGATTTCTAATTTATTTCCATATATTGTTTTCAGGTTTGCAGCGGTTTTGCTAAGAAAATCTATAAAATAGTGATTCATAATGTTTAATGTTTAAAATCTTAGCCAGGCAAACACTACATTGAATACAAGAACATTAGAAAAAGTAGTACAGTGTGCAGTAACACAGAAAATCCTAGCAGTCGTCTTTGATACTTATTTCCGCAGCTTTTGCTGTTGCTAATACGTACCATTGGAAGAAATATGATAACATCGTGTTTATGTTATATATATATTTAGGCCATTAAAAAGAGTATGTTTGTTTGCCCTAACCCTACCTACCCAGAAAATCGCTGCCTACTCAAAATCTTTTATTGTCCTGATGTGAAAAAGTTTTTTTTTTAATCAGATAGGCATGATATAATAAACAATTGACACTTCAATTTCTCTTTGCCAAAATAAAAAAAAAAGGAAATGCATGCCTACCTACCCACTGTCTCTACCTTTGAGTAGGGTTTGGGCAAACCAAACTATTTTTAAGTGTGGCCTTATTTACTATATTATATAATTATAAATCAAACAAGTTTTCTTTTGAGCTTTAGACTAAACCACGTGCAAAATGATTTTAATTTTTTAATTGTAAAACTTTGAATCTTTGGATTTTCTTACCCTTCCCGAGCACCTGAGATCACCCCCAGTTTTTGGTGGGGTTTGTGTTGCTTATATAGTCTTTATTTTCCTATGTTGTGTTTTGTGTACTATTGTTTGTCTGTTTGTTCTTTTCTTTTGTAGCCATGGCGTTATCTAGCCTCAAATGCAGTATGCATATGTTATTGATCAATAAATGATTCATCATACAAATAATCGACTTTCTTTTCAAATATTTCATCAACAAAAGGAGATAGACAAGTTCGAAAAACACATTTGGTTAATAAGGAAGATAAAAAATGCGTTCATCATCACATACAATATGCCTAACACGTGCTAATTTATATACCAACCTTTAGAAATATCTACTGGGACGTAAGTTAGAGATTCATGCGTATTTAAAAGTTTATCTAAGATCAACATTGTCTTGCTTGCATTTCCACTACCAAGATCAACAATCATTCTCGAATCTTTCAAAATTTCTATCAATTCCTTTAAAATACAACTACATTAAAAAAAAAGAAACAAAATTGCCGCAGAAATGATAATGTTTTCTTTTCTCTGACTCTTTAGTCCTTACACAATTTTATCATCTACCAATTAGAAAGGTTTTATCAATTTAAAATGTCGCCGTTGTATTATATTTACTTGCATGACAAGTTTCATTGTCAATAAAAGAAGAAAAAAACTGGTATCTATAATGAGTTTATTTACAACCACTGGGTCGATGCCACTGCTGGTGGAGTTTTTATTCCCCGAGGTTATCACCAGCCCAGTAGTCAGCACTTCTGTGTTGACATGAATTTTCGTTGATATAATCATATTATAAATTAACTGATTACAAAACTTTAAAATTTTGAAATAATAAGGTTTTTCTACCTCAGGAATAGATCACCTTAGCTGTATTTTGGTAAAACCTGTAGGAATTTTTGGTCCTCAATGCTCTTCAACTTCGTACTTAATCATGTTTATTTAGGCTTTTCAACTTTTTTTTTATTCGAGCGTCACTGATGAGTCTTTTGTAGACGAAACGCGCGTCTGGCGTAAATACAAAATTTAAATCCTGGTATCTATGATGAGTTTATTTAAAACAGAATCCGATTGATTTAAATGTTATTCAGCCCTAATTATAAGCTTTACATGTGATGACGGAACTGTTAGTAACGGATGGCAATCTACAAAATTATATTTTCATGGCAATTGTATGTGGTTATCATATTTCCCGAAAGAAACATGATACATATGCCAACTTATATTGCTAAAAATGAATTAAAGTTATTTTGTATTGATGCCTACAACTTATATTGCTAAAATGAAGAAAAAAAAACTATTGTAAATGTGCCTAGTATTGACCGAATCAAGTCCATTTTACAGATTGTTTTATGTTGGCCTGTAACACCATTGTCCGAGGTGGTTAGAGGGTGTTGATGCTAAGTATATGATAAGTTATGATAATCTACAATACAATGCAGTACGCTGTCGTTTTATTTCGATGTTATATTGCATATATTAGACAATGTTTGATATCTTTTTCTATCTAAACGACATGTTAGCTTAATTTACGAGTACGTACTGTTAAAATGTCACTCAGAATTTTCCTTTCAAAACGATGAAAGTAGTACCATTTGCATTGCTCCATACAAATATCATTTAACCGAGATCCTTCTTCGTCATAACGGTACCATGCTGGGATATGCACTGGATTAGCTGAAAGTCCGTTTAGTAATTCTCTCTTCAGGTTGTCCATGCTAGAATTAACTACTTGAACAATAATTGAAAAAGTATTAGTAGATAAAGCTTGCGTACATGTATATCATAAATCCACCAAACGTCTTTGAACGTTATAATAACAGTAAATGTCTGTGTAGGGTTCACGGTGCTCTGTGATACGGTTCACTGGACGGCGTTGTCAATGTATCTGGTGTTTGTTGTTCAAATTGTTGTTAAACTAGTAATATAATTAATACAAACGAGTCGTTAAAAGTAGATAACAAGATTAGTAAATAAAAGAATTAAATTGTGTTAGAAAATAGCAACGTGGTCGGAGCCGATGAAATTGTAGGATTTGATGTGCCTTAATTGTGAAGAATGAATGACAATCATGTTCTTAGTGAGGGATTGTTCTATTGTTCGACCCTACATGTACTTACAGTTCAAAACAAAGAATTTCTATAAATAAGATACATCTGCCCAAAGCCATTTATGAGCTTGAGAGGATTAAATTTTATTATTGAAATTGATAAAAAAATTAAATATTTAACATCTAACTAATACTTCTTCAGTTCAATATGTTGAAGATTACAAGAAGTTCAACAAACAAATATCAAAATAGTTGAATTTACTGATGCAGTAAAAGTTGGTACGTTAAAGTTATAATAAAGCAACACAAAAGGAAAGAAAAAAACAGGCCATTCTTAATATAACTTAATCTTAGAGCTTATACACTTACAAAATTTCAGATTACTGGATCAGCGGTTGGTAAAAATAGTATTTACATACAGGGGGTTACGTCAACCTTTGAATTATTTGCTTAACGTATTAAAAGAATTAAAATTTCAATTTCAATTTAAAGGCATTTTATTTGATCATTTCATTTCAGTTAATTACCTTACTTATTGTATAGATTTAGATTTTTAGATTTATTAGGAAAACACTCAGACACATTTACAATGTGTTACAAGAGGTCATTATTGATAACATATATACATTAAATATGACAGAAATGAACATGTGATTAACAAAGTAATACAAACAAAATTTAAAGAAGAGAAGACAGTTTTCCGATAAACACTGACAATTTCTTATATAATTCAATATTGCAAAGTGAAAAAAGGCCTTCCATTTTTACAATGTTTGGGTTATTGCTATAATATTGTGGTAAATATCTGTTTCTCAATTCTACTATCTCTGCATTTTTACAAATAAATAATACATGATATTCATCACCAATATCCTCTTTGCATAAATTACATTTTCTATCTGATTTTGGTATATTGTACCATCTATAGGCAATCGTAAGTTTGCAGTTCTAAATTTTGAAATCCAAATTCTAAATGACTCTGGTAAGTTAATAAGATTTCTTTCTATTTCAAAACTCATTTTGAACAGTGAATAAAATTGTCCACGCGATGTGGTGTGTAAATCACTGTACCATTTTTGTATGAACTGGTCACACAAAATTTGTTTTACTAAAACCTTTTCGTATACAGCAAACTGGTTTAAAAAAATGAAACTCATGCCTAACTCATTAAATATAGATTCTATGTGGTTTATCCACTTGAAATTCACTCCATGATTGCTTTTTAAACATAGCATTAACTTGTATAAAGTACTGCTAAGTTTATTTTCATTTAATACTAATTTACTCCAAAAAGAATCATCCTCAATTTGACCCGAATTTCGAGTGGAAACCTCCCAAGGTCTCCATAAACCATAAATGATGCAGATGAATTTCGAACTTTCAGAATTCTTTTACAGAATTTCAAGTGGATTTGTTCAATAATTTTTAGGTTTTCAAAACCCCACACTTCTGAACCGTACAATAAAATTGGTTCAATCATAGAATCAAACATTTTTAATTGTTTATCTATAGGTATTGATTCATAACGAAATAATTTGTTTACTGTTTATTCAAAATACACTCAGACGCAGATTTCCTGCGTAACAGGAGCGACTAATACACATAAATTTACAAATAACATAGAAGCGAAATGAGTAGAATACATAAAATAAAACAATATAAATATTTTTTTTTTACAAAACTAAATGTATACTACATCTATTGACCAGATCGCAAAAAGTCCGTGCAATCTGTAAAGTTTAAATAACCACGTGATCACATGAACACAATAAAATGATAGTAACAAAAAGTGTAACATATATAAATATTCATATGTGATGATTTACAGAGAAAGCAGTAGTTTTTCAACCTTTTGAATGAAAATAGAAAGGTTAGTTAATACATTTAAGTTGCAATATTTCAACATTCCATAAAGTTTGTTGATATTTGGGTTGATTCTGTAGTAATTAGGAATATATGCATTTCTTACTTCAATAACATCAGCATTGTTACAAAGCGCTATGTAATGATACTCATCTCCAAGACCAGTCTTACAAAGCTTACATTTTCTTTCAATTTCTGGAATTCTATTCTATCTCCCCGTTTCGATAGGAAATTTGATATTACAAGTGCGAAGTTTGCAAATATAGAGTCTACTAAAGTTTCTAAGTCTAATTAGATAGGGTTCCATACAGAAGTCAGTCTTAAATTTTAATTAGAACTTCCCCCTTGATGAGTTATCGATATCCGAAAACCATTTTTGTATGAACTGGTCATGGAGTCTTTGTTTAACGTTCATTTTTAAAAAAATCAAATTAACGTTTCCTTGTACATGCCAGATTTCACTGTTACCAGTTTCATCAAAAATAGATTTTACATAATTAATCTACTTAAAAGAATTATAGCCATTTTCAAATAAATTAAATATAAGCTTGTAGAGTTTTCCAGACAGTTTATCAACATTTGTTACAAGTTTGTAATCAGAAACAAATCATTTTCATCTTTATACTAATTTCGATAGGAAATCGGCCAAGTTCACCATAGACCATGAAATTTGCGGTCGTTGACCTAACCCCCAGAATTTTTTTGCAGAACTGTAAATGTATCTTCTCAATATTCATCTTATTTTCATATCCCCAAATTTCGGAGGAATAAGTCAAAATAGGGGCTACCAAAGAATCAAATAGTTTTATCTGTAAATCTAAAGGAATACTAATATTATTAATTCTCTGGTACAGACTGTATAAAGCTTTTTGAGCTTGATCTACTAATTTGTTTCTGACTTTACAAAAATTACCATTATAATTTAATAACAAGCCAAGATATGTATATGTATCTTGAATCTCAATTTCATCATTACATAGATTAAATTTGAATTTCTTATTACAGTTACGTTTAGAAAAAATTACAATTTTTGTCTTTGAGACATTGACCTTAAGTTTCCAAGTATTACAATATTGTTCAAATATATTTAAAGTATTTTGTAAATCTTCAGCAGTATCTGCAAAGATAACTGTATCATCTGCATATAGTAAAATGTAAATGCAATATAACGCTTTTTGTGCTTGCTCTACAAGTTTTTTTCTTGTGTTAATAAACGTTCCGTTATATTTGAAAATAACACCTAAGTATGAATATGTATCAACAATTTCAAGGTTACAGTCTTGCAAAGTAAAAATAAAGTTCTGTCTCGTTTTTCTTTTACAAAAAATCATAACTTTAGTTTTATTAACATTAACCTGCAGTTTCCATATATCACAATATGATTGAAAAATGTCTAGAGCTCTTCGCATACCTTCCATACTTTCAGACAGAATGACAGTGTCATCTGCATATAAAATAACAAATAATTTATAAAAAATTTGCAACTCACTTTCGAGCTTCTCTTTAATAATATTAAGAGGTTCACCGTCTAACTGGCTGAAATAACTTTCTAGATCATTTAGAAATATAGAAAAAAGAAACGGTGATAAACTTTCCCCCTGCCTTACACCAGTAAGACATGGGAAACATTCAGACTGGTCACCATTATACTGAACGCAAGATTTAATGTCATGGTACATGTTAAAGAATACCTTAAAAAATTTACCTTTAATCTCACAATTTTGTAATGTTTTCCATAGCCCCGATCGCCAGACGGAGTCGAACGCCTTCCGAAAGTCGACGAAAGTACAATAAAGCTTCTTGCCAAACGAAAAATATAACTCAATTAGAGTATGCAATACAAAAATGTTGTCAACTGTTGAATATCCTTTCCTAAAACCAGGTTGGTTTTCGGAAATGAGACTCAATTCGTTAGCAAACATATTTAATCTAGAATTTATAACAGACGTAAATAATTTTCCTAGGCAACTGATAAGAGTGATTGCCCTGAAATTATCAGGGTCAGACGGGTTACCCTTGTTTTTAAAAACAGGTTATATAATTCCACTTGTCCAGCTTTCTAGAATAATACCAGTATCTAACACTAAATTAAAAAGCTCGCAATATATAGAAATTAACAATGGAGTTGAATATTTCAAATATTCATTTAAAATTTTATCTGTACCTGGAGCTTTGTTATTTTTCAGCTCCTTTATTGCTTCAGATATTTCTAATTCTGTTATTTTTCCATTTAATAACTCATCATATACAGGATGTTCACAAATATTATCAATATTCAGACTAAAATCTCCCTCATCATCTTCACTTGCATTTAAATTTTTAAAATATTCAAAAAAGTGTAAATCTCCACTTGTGGGTTATCTTTTCTTTTACTTGAAAATTTGTGAAGTGTATTCCAAAATGCTTTTGTGTTTGTTTTTGATAATGATCGAAGCTCGTTTGCGCAATTTTCTTGGTATTTTTTTATAATTGAGTATTCTTATTAAGGAGTTGTCGGTATTCTTTAGCCTTCATATTCATCAGTGTTTTGTTATCAGCAGTCTTAATTTTTTTGTATTTCCTTCTTGCTCTGTGGAACTCATCACGCATAATCTTACAGTCTATTTTAAACCATGTTTTTTTTTAGTTGATCTTTGACACAGTTTACCCGCTGGTCCAAATGCAGTTGAAGTCGTATCTAAGAGTACATTTCCGAGTTCACTAATTAGGTCATTGACCTGTAGTGGTGTAACGGATTCCGTTTGAAAATTTTCGAGGGTGTGTTTGATTAAATTCAATGCATCCGTGTCATCGCTGAGTACCTGTGTAAACTCGTGTGCCTTGTTTGTGTTCCATCGAACGCAAGTGTTGTTATTCTTATTTTGTTGATCAGTGTAATTTTTGTTTGTAATGCATAAAGAAAAATGCATCTGATTATGAACATCAGATAGTGTAGAATTAAAGTCAAATATTTCAAATTCAATAACTAGGTCAAGCATATCAGGTGACAAAATAAGGTAATCAACAAGACTTGCGTCTTTACAAGTGTTTTTTTTCCAATAAATTTATTCTGATGCAATCTACCATTTGCAAAACATAATGAACATCGTTTGCATAACTCTATTAATTTTCTGCCATAATTGTTATAATTTTGTCCTCACTACACCTTTCAAGAGGGATGCCTTTTTTTATAAAGTTATTTACAAACAATGTATTTTCATTCATAATTTCAGATGCATTAACAAAGCTTTTTCTGAAGAATCCTTGGAATTTTCAGGAGGGATGTAAATACATCCAATTAGAAATTTATTGCTCATCAAAGTTTTAGTACAATTTAATGAAAATTACACCAGTTACAGAACAAATTCTGAGTCTGACTTCAAAAATTTCAGGCAGTCAGAAAGTGATTTTGTAAATACTACGACTATACCCCCTGATTTTTCACAATTTTTTTCTATTTTTTGCAAAGTAGCTGTAACCATCTGGTAATTTTAACTCGTCAAACTCATCAATTTTAGTTTCAACAAATATCAGAATATCATAATTTTTAATCATTACATCAAAATCTGGATTTAAAAATTTTGATTTGATACCACATACATTTAAAAAGGTTATTTTCAAAGTATTATGATTGTCAGTTAAATGACCGTAATCAGTGTCTGATGTGTTGTCCTAATCTCCACCATTATTAGGTAACGGTTGACCTGGAATTGTAGGCGGGGGTACACTTCACCATCTACAAGGAGTTTATCGTACACTAGCTTTGCGTGTCGTCTTTGCCTTTTGAATTCCTTCATTTTCGGGATAAGTTTTTTACTCCTGTCAATTATTTCACGCGTGGTATTGCTGGTATATAGAAAATTGTGGTTTGTTCTTTAAATTACTCGCAGCTGCTCTGTTAACACGCACATGATCACTGAATCTAGTAAAACTGGCAATAATGCTTCGTTCCTTGCCGTCAGACCGCTCACCATCGGTGTACATTTTGGAATTTTATATCTCCAACATTAGGAACCATATGTAATGTAAAGAATTAGAATCAAATATTGGCTATGGAATAAATTTCAATTGTAACTAAAACATAGAATTTATCGATTTTGAACTGTAAATAAACAAAAAGATACTTTTTCACTGATATATGACATGATTTTCATTCATACTCACGACAAACAATGCCTACCATTTCATCGTATTTGTTGTGTACATGTCATATGCCTAAACTCAATTTATGAAACTTTCCAATATTATAAAATAGCCCATAAATTACCAAGACCTACATGATGTATCCATAAATGAATTGCCTAAAACGGAAGTCACGCATTAATCATAATGATAATCCCTGTCTCCGTGATAAGTACTCGGTAACGCTCGTGCTTTATCATGAAGAAAGGGATTATCATTCTCTTACATATACTTGTCAACTAATTTTAATCATTGTATTAATTAATCACTGAATTAATTTTAAATTATATGATTATGTTTCACTAGGGCTACTTACTATGTACATTGTAATGAGCTCGGGGGACACTTCAATATTGAATTGATAGGGGTGGCGCTGGGGTTCTGTTACCCCACCCTTTTCATATAATTTAGTTTTTAGAAATGTATATCTTTTTATATATTGCGTATGTAAAAATGCAACCTTACCCCATAATGGTTGGATTTCGTGTGGAACGAGAATCACATTCAGGCATAATCGAGAAAATATCACCTTGAACGGAAGTTGGGGACCTTGGGCCTACTTAACCAAAATTTCCAGGAAGGGATTTATTTTTAAAATAGGTCCAAAGTTAGGATATGACCTCCTACCCCGCCCTAACTTTGAGAGTTAGTGACGAAATTTCCGACGGCAATTCTTTTTTCACCACTAGGTGCAAACGGAAGTTGGGGACCTTGGGCCTGCTTGACAAAAATTTCCAGGTGGGGTATAGCACGGATTTTTAAAAATAGGTCCAAAGTTGGAAAATGACCCCCTACTCCACCCTTACTTTTGGAGTTAATAAAAAATTTCCTACAGCAATACTTTTTTCACCACTAGGTGCAAACGGAAGTTGCAGACCTTGGACCTGCTTGTCCAAAATTTCCAGGTGGGGTATAGCACGGATTTTTTTTTTCTTGAATAACAATTTAGTAATTTCACTGCACACAATACTTTAATAACTAAAAATAAATCCTGCGTCTTATCAAAACTAAGCGAAATCCACTGGTTACAGAGAGAGCTAATGATTCGCAAAAACAGACTTGTCTTACAAGAGAACGCAATTTTCTATTCTTGAAGTGCAGAAATATTGTTACTTTTTAGGAACTATTTAACAGGATGCCGAAAATATGGAAAACTATTTCACACAATATCGACTAAATAATTTCTGAATATGTGGAAGTCGTTACTGCGCATGTAACATGTGTAACAAGCAACATTGCCAATATTTGGATAATTTAATGTTTTTCATAATTATTGACGATTCTATTTAATACTCATAAGTGTTAACTGTTAAAGTTTTAAAGCGTGCATCACGCTGTTTGGTACATTGAAAGCATAATAATATTGTATTCTAATTTTTGAACAGGAAATGAAATTTATAAATTCATTGAATAGTAACTATCTTCTATATAAAAAAGTTATTGTAGTTATTATATATTAATAAAAACGTTTTTTGAGTAAGTTTGAATCGTTGCAACTGTTGTTATTAGACATATCTGAAAACTGGCTGCTAGCTTGAGTCTAGCGAGGTGCTTACCAACGTCACAACAACAACAAATAAAAGTATATTTATTTTCAAAATAAATGGGTTAGATCATTAGTGGTATAATTAAATATACAAATCTTTAGTTCGCTTCATTGCTCTGATTTCAGAAAACGTTTGTATTAATTACGTACAGAGTATATATATTTAATAACCTTCGTTTTTCGATAGAAGTGAATTACTAGACTATCAAAAAGTAGTATCATATACAATAGACGTGTGTTATGTTAGCTTGGAACTGTTACTCGTTTAATATAAAAAAGAAGATGTGGTATGATTGCCAATGAGACAACTCTCCACAAGAGACCAAATGACACAGAAATTAACAACTATAGGTTACCGTAAGTTATTTTTCACCGCAGAAAAAATTATCTGGTTCTAGCTGATTACTTCAACTACACGTACGATTTACTTTTTTTTCTTCATATTTGGGTATTTTACACATACAACGGTATTACAATTTACTTTATACCGTTTTCCACACTGGGTAAATGCATATACAGCTGTATACAGATTCTCATATATAATTATGTTTAAAGCACTGTTATTGTAAATTATAAATTATGTGCGTAGGCTAACTATGCTTGATAAATCTAAATATCATATATAAAACAATAAAAAAATATGGATTGGTCATCCATTCCTATCAAATAAAAATTAAAAAAACGACATTTTGAAAATCATAAGATACAAGTATATAGTGAAATCCTATAAAATGGGCATACTGACTACTTTTGAAATAAGGAGTTATCTAAAGAAATGCATATGCTTAATTGATCTTTAACAATACATACATGTGTCCAATTTTATTTGAAAAAAAATCTAAAAAGTAACGAACAATATACATTTTAACAATAATACAAGATTTACACACGCTTCAAATAATTAGAGTCATTGAATCAACTTCACTTTGCTTTGCTCATCCGAACATAACAATATTGTGATTACTTCGAAATAAAACAACTGAAGACTTGTAGGATTAAGAGACGCAACAAAGCAGTTTTAATAAATACTATTGGCTAGCATGTAATGCTATACAACATAACATAATCACAAAACATCTCACAATCCCTGAATCACAATACACAAATACGAATAATATGAATTGGCAATAGAAAAAAACTTATATACAAAGGCATTATAATTAGTATTATCTGAATACAGCTGTTACACTCGCTATATATATGATTTTTTTTTTCGATAATTAGAAAAAGGCGCCAAAAAGAATCATATAATAGTAAAGGTCTAAACCGGATTACTTCTTATAATGCAGGGCAAAGTAAAATCGATATTTTGATAAATAAGAAATATTGTTATCATAATACAATATATGATCGAGATCAATTACCTGAATCGATTTAGTAAATCATCCGAATCGAAATGTTTTAGAAAAAGAAGTCAAACTTTTGAGATGTGCCAATGTAGAACAAGAAAGAAATGTCAGATCTAGATAGATAATTAAATCATTGTTCTTAATTTTATAATACCGTGTTCCTACTTACGTCTGATTTTAAACCTTAAAATACCCACATCGGTATTTATAAATGACCCATTGGAAATATTAAGCTGTACGGCTTTCATAGGTTATCTCTGAGGCTACTCTAACACAGAGATTGGTTCACTGAAGTCAGGTTATGATGTCAAAGTTCGCGGAATGTTCAACAGGGATATACACTCATTTATGTTAATTAGTATCCTTCAAGGATATTGGAGTCATCTTTAAACGTAGATGAGCAGCACGTGGCCAAAAGGTTATTGCTTACTTCTCATTTCATTATTCAGAAAGAGGAAAAAAAGTATGATGTACTCAGACGAACAAAGTCGGTACTCTGATGTAATGAGAGTTTGCAACCAAATAATTATATCTTCTGCGGAGCCCATTCTCAAATGCATAGGTATGTTGATTACGAAAAAAATATATATTTACGGTATTTTTGATTGTGCTTATATTTGGTTTACAATTTTGACAAATCTTCTTTATTCTAACATTTTCGTTTTTTTTCATATACATGTATATACAAAAAAGTTATTTAGAAGAAAACAAACTCATCAAACAGGGTATAGATTTTTTTTAAATCAAATAATAATAATGTTTAGGCTTATGTATTTTTGTTCTTTGCCTCGGAACTGCCCTTGACCAGTGCATCGCTATGAACAGTGTCGTTATATGGATTAGTTCTCGTTATTGTGACCTCATTATGAGCTAAAGGTCATCATCTGAAGGTTTACACTCCGTTCTTCTTTGCGTCAAATGTGTTTTTTCTATACCTTACTTCAATGGTCATCAAATGGAACTGAACACTTGAACAAGGAAATTTTAAATTACCACTTTTTTCATATTGTTAGTTTTAGAAGAGATGACGATTATGCCCAAAAGTTACAAAATTTTATAGTTTGTGTATAAATTGTTTTTCAAATAATTATTTATGTGAAATAATTTTATGAAACGCGATGCCACTGAACATGTCTTTTAGCGAATATGACATTTGTGTATTTTTTCCGTCTTTCTCTCAATCGCTTTGCAATTGAAGCGGCATATCTGGTTTACAAAAAACAAAGCAATCAAAACAATTTTCTGTTATTCTATAATAAATATGGTACAATCGAACAAGATATGACCAGATGTTTTGCCTTTTATAAGCATTTAGGCTGTGCAATAACTTATTCCACCAAGCACACGCTTTTTAAAATAACAAACAGGTCGGGGAACTACAACATTGAAATAAGTGGCATGGGGGCTAGCAAAATCCAGCTCTAATCTGAAATTAGAATCCACAATCAGTAGTCAGACAATACAGGAACGCGAAAAAACAATGAAACATATAATGATGAAGATGAAGATGAACTCTATTACGAGTTTTCAGAAAATTCGAGGAAAGTATGTTTTTGTCCTATTACATGTAACTGATTTTTTTTTTACACGAGTACAACACATTTTGTTCAGAAAAATAACTTTCATCACGTATATCCATTTTAGAAACGTTGTGCAAGCATTTTGAAGATGACGTAATAGTTATTGCTGATTACTGTACTGCGGATGGAGGGAATTCGGTTGAAATACTTAACAAAATGAAGGGTATGTTTTCTTATTTAAAATTAAGTCAAGGTAACATTTTTTAAATACAATGTATTTATTGTAGAAATCATTGAGTTATTTTCACTTCCGATTAATATTTAATCTATTTGGCTTTGTTCTTCAATAACGTATTTCAATATACTTACTGACCGTTTTGCAAATACTTTTTACAAATGTCTATTTGTTGGCTAGACGTTTCCATTTTGTTCTTGAGCATCACTGAAGAGACATGAATTGCAGAAATGCACATCTGATGAATTAAAATTAATTGGTACTGTTGATATTGTTGCTATATAAGATAAGACGATGTGGTATGCTTGCCAATGAGATGTTCAAATGAAGCGAGTTTCCGCAATCATAGGTCAACGTAGATCTATAACAATGATCAACATCCATACCGTAAAGTCAATTGTGAATACCCCCATATGACAAAATGTGAAACAATTCAAACGAAAAAACAAAATGCCCGATTTATAACACAACAATAAGTGAAAATCAAATAAGATCGACAGCAACCATCGACAGCCACTAAATAAAAGGCTTCTAATTATGGACAGGCAAAAATAGAATGTGGAGGGGTTCAACATGTTTGTGGGCGTTCGACCCTCCCATAGCCTGACATAGCACAACATACGAACAAACTTTAAAAGATCAGTTGGAAATGGCTTGACTCATCAGATCGACACGAATCACAAAAGAAATAACAGAACGACGAAAAAAACACAACGTAAAGATAAAGGAGTACTCGCAGTTACTGACAGCTAGTTCAAAGCCCTTAAAAGTCGTCACAAACAGTCTAAGAATAACAGGAACTTGTGCAATGATATTGATGATATCTTGATATATATGTATTGTAGTGCTAACAGTTGTCAACCTTGTATTTATTGCAGAAAAAATAGATGAACATTCAAGACAGATGTTTGTAATATTCGAAGATCATCCGAATAACGAATTCAGTAGTCTTTTCAGCACTATAAATTGTATGTTGGTACATAAAATACTTATTACATTTACATAGTTCTCTCATAGATACAAACACTTGCTGTGGAAGTTTGGCTCATCCGTAAAACTTTATTGCAAAATGGATATCGCATACCAATTTTACTCACTTGTGACGCTCGAATCAAAAATGTTAAAAGGCTATATAACGTAGTAGTTAAAGAGCATTGTGAACAGAGTAATCTGAAAAGTTTTACCCGATACAAAGGTGACTGGGATGTCTTCCTCCATCTTTGATTTTGAAGTAGCAGATAACAATTGGTCTAGATCTTTAATGATATGTGCAAATTTTGAGAGTAGTATGCAATTCATTTGTAAGACTTTTCATGTTAATATAGAAAATTATGTGTTTTATCATATTTACGGCTGTTTTTTTCTAAAAAACACATTTTTTTTTTTGTTTTATTCATTTTTTTCAACTTTGCCACATAAAGGGAGATAACTCAGAAAGTAGGGGAGATAACTCAGATAAAGTAATTTTTATAATAGAAAGTGTTATAATAAATTTACCTATTTTAATATGTAGCAAGAAAACAAGTCCGGTGACCTTATTTTTTTCTTTTTCTTATCTGAAAGCATGTTATAAGAGCTATATTCTCACATTTTATCTTAAAATTATATGGTGTAGTTTTCTTTTTATCACACAAAATTGGATTTTCCATGCATAATCTATACAAAATCTGACAATTTTGCACAACCTGTAGCGTGAAAAAAAAGTTTGGTAACCCAAACGTTTTATTATATTTTGGAAAAAAGCATGATAAAAACTACATTTTGACAAATTATCAAAAATATCTTTGGGTTTTAATTAAGACCCTCCGCACCCCTCCCCATCCACCTTAATAAAAATTGAAAAAAAAAAAAAAAAAAAAAAAATAGAGCTATATTATATACAATTATATTCATAAAACCTGTCGCTTTTAATATTTTCACATATTACACTATATGTTTTTCTCTTACTCTTTATGAAGTCTACCCTAAATCCGTTGATTAGTACTGGTTAAGTGGTTTATATTTTAAAAAGTCTAGGAGAACGTGATTTATTTTCAAGATGTAATTGACAGCGAGTATCAATTGCAGATCGGTAATATGTATGTTGCTAATTGTTCAAACATGCTATAATTGTTTTATGATCGGACGCTGGAGCTTCGTGGTGCAAGACGAATCACGAAAATTCTTTAACATAAGAATGCATTCAATCATCCTGGACCTTTCTTTACGATTCCACTTCGAGTACAGGATGCCATAAGGTCAGTCCCTGTTGATTTAATCATGATGATATACAATCGATATTTGGTGCTTAAATATATTGAATTAAGAAGAGACAGCAAGGAATAATAAGTTGAATTCAAAATGATAAAGTTAGTTACGACTAGTATTCAGGTGTTGTGACCATATGGTCTTAAATGCATGATTTTTTTTATTAGTTGTTATTGTTTTTGAACTAACTGTCAGTAACTGCGAGTACTCTCAGATCTGTACTTAGTGTCTTTTTGTTGTTGGGATTAACAAGTACCCGGCCGCGTCCCCTCTGTGTTTTTGTTAGATGTATTTCTATTTGTATGAGTTAAGCCTTTTTCAACTGATTTTTATAGTTCGTTCTTATGTTGTACTGTTACACAACTGTCCCAGGTTAGGGGAGGGTTGGGATCCCACTAACATGTTTAACCAGGCCACATTATGTATGTATGTGCCTGTCCCAAGTCAGGAGCCTGTAATTCAGTGGTTGACGTTTGTGAATGTGTTACATATTTGTTTTTCGTTCATTTTTTTGTACATAAATTTAGGCCGTTAGTTTTCTCGTTTGAATTGCATTTTGAGGCCTTTTATAGCTGACTATGCGGTATGGGCTTTGCTCATTGTTGAAGGCCTTACGGTTACTTATATTTGTTCATTTCTGTGTCATTTGGTCTCCTGTGAAGAGTTGTCTCATTGACAATTATACCACATCTTCTTTTTATATATATATGGGTTCAAACCCGATTAAGTGTGTAGTACTAATTGTAGTAAAAAACAATATTAGATATCTGAGAGATGTCAAACTATTGTCCGAAATTTTCATTTAATATCTGCTACTTAATATTAAGCAAACATTCATTCAGGTGGAAAACATAAGAAGCTTATAATGTAAGTGGCTTTTAAAATCTTATGTGAAGTTTATAGGGACATGATTGAAAGCTGGTTGATTAACAATTTAGAATAAAATGCTGCACCTTAATACGAATAACGAAAATTTGTGTACACCACTCACTGTGACCAGAGGCAGTCCCAATGAGAAAAATGCGCTCAAAGTAAGGCTCATTGTTGAAGGCAGCACGGTGACTGGTGGAGGGTTAATTGTCTAATTGGCTATCATACCTCATCTTCTTATTTTTACATGTATATAAAAACGCCTTTAAAAAAAAATTCGGAATTTTTAAATCTGACTCAATCACTGACTTACTGATATCGAATGGTCAATCCATTTGTGGGATTAAATGATAGAAAGTGTTACGAGCTAGAACAATAATGCAAACGTTCTGAATGTAATACATGTACTTGTATACTTAAAACCCCTCAAAGAAATATGACCTTGTGTTTAAAACTCCGAATTAAATAACCTAAAGCTCAAAGGTTATTATCTCGGATCGCTCTATTTGTTGGACAAATTCAATCAATGTTTTTGCTTATTGTTAATATTTGAAGTTTTAAATATGCATATAAATCATTGACTTAGTGACATTGGTTATACTTGTTAAGTTTTCTACTTAGTTGGTTCTATTTAGAAGTGTTTATTCTATATATTTACCTTTAATATTTTGATCACTGCACATTGTATACTATTTAAATGATTCAAGCACTCCGGGTTCGAAAATTCAATGTTTCGTTTTCAGGAAGACATTGAAGACTTGATTTTTATATATATTTTTTGAGTTGTCAGAAAATCTGCTCTTCAACCTCCTAATCATGATTTACTGACTTTGGATTGTAAACATTCTACGCTTTGTTTCTTATTTTTATTTTCAATGTAAAACACATAATTTTCCCTTATCTAACTATATATACATGTGCATATGTATGGAAATAGCTTCTATCATAGATTTGGTCTCCAAAAGTTAAAACGGTGAAATATAATCTCTTTTTGGTTTAACTATGGCAATAATCTGCATTTATTTGAAACAAAATATTGCAAAAGGGGGGGTTGAAAATGTCTAAAATGTCCCAAAAATTTGGTCCAAAGAAGAATTTCAAACCATTAGCTATAGAGTGATACATTTTCTGAAAGCATTGACATTTATCTATCATATGCATTTCACCTCATTTTTTCCAAAAATTAAATTGAAAGGTTCGAGGGTCAAATGTTGGAAAGCACTACAATAATTTCTAGACATATGGGCGGTACGGATGTGAAAATACGGACTGCCAAAAAAGAAAAAGGGCCTTTAGAACATGCAAAAAACAATCTTGATGTTCATATAAAACCCTCTTTGAAAGCTATATTATTCTTCAGCTATCTGAAAATGAATTTTATTGCACAAGAACTTTCATGTTTAAAAATATTCTCCATGGCCAAAATGCGAAACTAAATTTCTAACTGTGTATTGCTACCTCAGCGTGTCAGTCTAATACAAAGCAGGGTTAATATACATGTATGTATTAAATTAACATGTTCTCGTTCTGAATATGCATTAATTTGCCACTGAACGTTAAACAGCTATCCATCATCATCATTACCACCAAATGCGTCATCTGAGACTTGCCTGCATGTTCGCCATGTCTATTGATTAATCTTCCTGCAAATAAATACATACATGACTCTTCTGATTTTTTTTATATTTGCTATTACTGAGATTTTTTACAAATGTTTCTATTCCTATTGAGAACATGACTTTGTGATAGAATACAATAAAACAATTTTCTCCTTGTGGTGTTTTCGTGTGACTTTAAGGGCATAAAACATGATCAATTTCACTATCTGAACTTACGTTGCCATTGTGAATTTTAACAAAACATTGGCATATCATAAATTAACCCCCATTCAATCAATTGCAGAGATACAAGAACAATTAAAACAGATGCAAATTGTTATGTTAAGTTAATAGATATTTTCTGCACTTTCCAGGCAAGCTTAATCAACATAATATGTACCAAGCTGTGTGTTCCAAGGACATGTATAAACAATGTTTACCGTCAAATTTTATACATTTGATATTTTCCACCTTTGGATTCCATTGGTTATCAGAAAGGTAAGCCATAATGACATGTCTAATTTGTTCAATGAACCAGCATTCCTGATGAAAGTAAATCCGGAAAAGCTCTTCAAACGCATAAGATTTATAAAGTGCTGTTTTCATTTTTGTTATTATCTAATTGGAAGTTCATCTTATTAATGTGCCCTTAAATGTCTTATTATTTAACAACAATATAATTATTACATGCTCTCTTTGACATAATAACATATTTTCGGGTGTCTTGTCACTTATTCACATAGTTGTGTGTGTAACTACAATATATGTATCTGCTTCTGTTTATTATTGCTTTGCATCACGGTGCGAAGCCATTAGTGTCATACGATGTTCTTGCCATCTCGAAATCATTACGTAACAAATATCGGTTCTCATTGGTTGACTTTTGGGTTTGGGAAAGATTCTATGAGATAAAGAATTGGGAACATGTCCCGGACAGGAGAAGATATAAAAATACGGACAAAGTTCCAGTATGTGTATTTTAGATCCGATCTGATACCCGTTCAATGAATAATTTTGCCTTTACTGGTTTACCATGCTTTATAATGTCGTGTCGAATTCATGATAATAAAAACAAGCAGGGACTAGTACTATTTCCTGAGTGCTTATTTGACTTAATATGTATATACACCACATGTACAACAAAAAATACATATTACTGCCAATAATTTTCAAGAATTTTGTCAGAATGAGAATACATGTATTCCATGTTATAAAACCAAATGATATATATATATAAAATGGATACGCCAAGACAATGGTAAACCCAGAATTGTGCATTAGAATTGTGAGAATGATCTGGAATATTTAGGAGGCATCTAATTGCAATTTAATAAAATGGTAGTGTAGGAAAACACGCATGAGGATATTCATATGCAAATAAATATTGCGTCAAAAAGACGGGCGTCAAATACCACATTAATGTGTGTTTGCACTAAGGAGATAAATAACATCTTTCTCATACTCAAACAGCCATATCTTACTTAGAATTTTGATACAGCGAAGCATCCCAAAGCTTTTAAGGAAGCTAAAACGTGTATGTTTTTTAATACTTTTCCAAAGTAAAAACAAAATGAACACAAAAACTAAATAATTTGATTGAAAAGCAATATTCTTCGAACAGACCTTGCAATATAGAACATGGAATGTTCGTACATGATGGTAACGAGATTGAACAGAAACTATTTGCTCAACAAGCCGAGAAGGACTGGGAAACATTCCTTCTTCAACGAGGAAAAGAATTAAAACGTGGTATGATTATATCTAACATTTTAATTGTATACGAATAAAATTTAACATTTAGACCTAACATGTCAAGTTTAGCATCCTTTTGATGTCCAATTCACATATGTCCTTTCTGCACCAACATAAAGCACCATTTGCGTAATTGTAGGCACAACTTTGAAATGATGAAAAAAAGTTTTTTTTTTTTTTTATTTTAGGGGTCAAATGAAAAAGAAGTGTCTAATGGCTCGGGTATTCCTGTTTTGTATAGAGGGGTCAATGAGTTTCATCTTTAAATAGAGCTAGCTTCAGAAACAGAAAAAAATGTCTAATGGCTGGGGTATTCCTGTTTTGTATAGAGGGGTCAATTAGTTTTTATCTTTAAATAGAGCAAGCTTCAGAAACAGAAAAAAATGTCTAATGGCTGGGGTATTCCTGTTTTGTATAGCGGAGTCAATTAGTTTCATCTTTAAATAGAGCAAGCTTTAGAAACAGAAATAAAATGTCTAATGGCTAGGGTATTCCTGTTTGTATAAAGGGATCAAGTAGTTTTCATCTGTAAAAAGAGCTAGCTTGAGAAACAGAGAAAAGTTTAATGACTAGGGTATTCCTGTTTTGAAAAAAGAGACCAATGAGCTTTCATCTGTAGAGCAAGCTTCAGAAACGGAAAAAAAGTCTAATTGCTAAGGTATTCCTGTTTTGTATAGAGTACCTTTACATTGTACATCTCTTTATATTGTATATCCTTGACATTTACATGCACTTGCTTGAAATTATCGAAATGTATTTACTGCAGAACAAAAACAAAAATTTGAAAGCCGTTGGTATATATACTTATTTATATATGGCAAAATATAGACCTAAATCGAATAGCTAAAACCATCTGAAACTTAATTTGTCTGATGGGGATTATTCAGGGAGTCAATTTAGTAAAATATCTACAAAACGATATATATATTTATTAAGTCAACCATCTTTCTTACCAGGGTGTTAGATTGTTATGAAAAACGATACTGTATCCAATAAATGTATACAAAATATACATATACGCTTAAAAAGTATATTGGTATTGTATTACCATAATATGTTTTTTTTAATAAAAGATGAACAATTATACTAACAAGATGGTATGAAAGGTAGCAGACCCCCTAAGGCGCATTTGACCGAAGTCGGTTTGAATTTTTTGTATAGCTCTATTCGGTTAATATTCATTAAAAACTTAATATGTAAGCTTTCCAAACTGACAAATATCATAAATCTGTCTGGGTTTTGCTCATTGTTGAGGATCGTATGGTGACCTATAGCTGCTTACAACCTCGTCATATGTCTCTGGTTGATACTTGTAGTTGTATTAGTTATTGGCAATACTGCAGAGTCTCCTTATTTTTGATAAGGTTACCGTAGAAACACATATAGTGTGAAATCATATACACATTTTTAACAACTCGCCCATGGGCTGCATGGTTCTTCTACTGAATAATTACTGACGCGCACCCTCCGTCAAGTAGCCCGCGCTATAATATCGATATTGATACTTCATTTGGTCCGGTTTGTTGCTGCTGGACAATAACTCTTTGAGTGTACTAAACGCCAATTAGTCGGCAATATGGCATTGGTTCGGTTTTTGTCTGTAAATCTGTCATAGTTTAAGTACTCACAGCTAGGTCCTTGAGTATTAATAATTAGAACAAATAAGGCATATAACTACGAATATTTCATTGTTTCTTTCAAAATTTAGCAAAAATTGCCAGTTGAACTCCAAACAGTTAACGGAATATGCAAAATACACAGGCCAGGGGATTTCAAGTGGAAGTCTTGCCTATGGTAAAACGGAGCAACTCCTTAAGTACAGTATTTTGCTTATTACATGCTACGCTAAAGCTATTACCAAAAAGTATAAGATAACCACAACATAACCAAGTATTCATACTTTAAATTATTATTGATAGTTTTCAGGTGGAATAATGTATCTTATCGGTTTGGTAAAAGATGATAAAGGAGGGTATGGTTCATTAGAGTTTCACAAGCAAATGTCAGAAGTTCAAAAGACAATGTTTCAAGAGGGATTTATATCTAAGGTACTATAATAATATCATATAAGGCAATTATATTATAACCTTGAACTTCATTTTCATTCTTATTTGATGAACTTCCACAGGTTAATTTGATTATAATGCGAGCTGTAAAAGATGTGGATATATGCTATCTCTGCATTTCATCATTTAATCTGTTTTTCAAATGGTAAGACACATACTGTGTTGCATATAAAAAAAATTGTGAATGAAAATATAGTGTTACTTGTACTATTGCCAACAAGACAACTATCCACCAGAGTCCAAATGACATGGGTAAAATATTTAGCAGATAAAGGTTAAAGTAGGGTCACCATCAATAGGTGTAACCGATACCGTTTAATCAGCGATATAAGGCCCCGACATGACAAAATATGAAACAATGCAAACATAAAAACATAAAAACAAACTATTTTGTGAAAAAAAAACTTATAACGAGATAATAAAAAAGTAAACAAATAACAGAAACAAAACAAGTGTATATAGTGTATCTGACCAAAAAGGAAACGAAAAAGATTATGACAGACATCAACCAACGACAACCACTGAACTACAGGCTCCTGATATGGGACAGGCACTGCTTAAAAATATCCTCTTTGATAATACCTATAAAAGACAGGCGAAAGATACCAAAGGGATATTCAAACTCATGAAACGAAAACAAATTGACAATGTCATGGCAAAAAAACAAAAAACAACGAAAAGACAAACAACAGTACACAAAACACTGCAAAGAATATAAAGACTGAGCAACACGAACCCCACTAAAATCTGGGGATAAAAACATTCCTTTTTTATCGACAGTTTCACTATATACACTTTATGTGTTTTTGTTATCATTTTCCTTTTTATGATATCTCGTTATAAGTTTCTTCAAAAAAGAGTTATGATTTCTCAATTTTACGACATCAATTTGCTTGAGAAAGATGAAAACATAAAAAAAACTTCTTAGATAATTACAGCATTCGTCGATATTTAAGCATTTTAATTTTGTTTTAACTCTTTGAGGGGTCCGTACGTGACCTTTTTCAAGGCTACATTGCTGTCCCTATCCAGTCTTCCCTCGTTTTGAAATGGTAGTCCAAATTTCTAGCCCTTCATCCCGGTCGAACCCTATTACAGGACCTACATATACTATTTTATTTATTGTCTTAAACGTGCATGAAATGTTTGCCACTGGACGTAAATCAACCAATAATCAATATTTGTTTTTATTAAACAGGAAGAACATAAGGCTATGCTTATTAAGACTTATAATCGTTCAGAAGATGAAATGAGACTACCGTTTTGCCAAGGATCAAAGGTTTCTGCATTAGGGTTAGAATTACAATCCTTCACAAGGAGAAACTGGAAAGCGGTTAAACATCCTGGAAACGAAAACAGTAGGTATTAAATATTAGATTAGAAGAAATATTCTATAACTTGTCGTAAATGGAGAAATAATGAAACATCAATAATCTATTTCGACAGGACATCAAAGTCACACAAAAAATCCAACTGAAAGACATCTAGAGGTCTACTAAGTCTTCACCAATAGACAGTTAGATATATAATGCCTCAAGGTTTGAAATAGTACTGATTCTGAAAGATTGCGACTATCATAAAAAGAAAACCTCAACCAACACCAAATGATCAAAATAGCAAATAAAGTACAATTAGATATGACATAAGTCAACCACTGAAAATGCTCCAGACTTGTGAAATAGTATGAATATTTGATGTGGTAAGACAAGTTCTTTTATATCTAATATCATATGAAAAGTACTACTGGAAAACACTTAACTTTAAAATTAGAGATAAAATAGATAACAATAATAAAATGTTTGCATGCTACGGGTTACGTTCTTCTCGTATAATTTATGATGACGTGATACTAAATCCCTAACGAGATGGGTTGTGATTGATTTTTATATGATGAAGACGTGATCTTTCGATCAGCTTAATTGAGGTCCAAAGCTGGCATGTCAATAACTGCTACATGTGTATAGTAGTCCTTTGTTTATATGTAAGACTCTGAACCGCGATGGTACTCCGAACCGCGATGATCACGCTAATGTGCAGTTGTTTGACGCTGAAGTGTGTTTTTGATCACGCTGAAGTGCAATGGTATCAATGTGACGCTATCTTGTTGATAGCTATGCCGAAGTGCGATGGTGGTAACACAGAAGGTCTACATAAACTATAATTTCAATGCTTTACATGTCGATGTAGAAGTCAGTTTGTTTGTTAGAACAGCTTTTCTGGTTTTCAAGTTAATAAGGGGCTTTATACTATACTAATGCAAGAAAGGAGGAGTGCTTGGTGAAGAGGAGAAAGAAAACCTTCTATGGGGGGTTTGTTTTTTCGAAATCTACTAAAGGTTCTTTTTTGCGTACGATAGAGCGTGGCATTCTCTAAATTATTACGGGTCCGCAAACAGACTATCCGTATAATAATATTACGGTAAACGAGGAACCGAGTAAAGATAAAAATTAATGTTAACGCAGATTTATATCCAGAAAATCAAAGAGGACAATCTCTCATTTAGTATGCAATTGTAATTAAGGACTTACAATAACGAATGAAAATTTATGTACTAACTATTAACAAAAATCTCTAATAATTGAACATTGTATTTATTAAATTTGGTTCATTTGTATGTTTCGGAGTTTAGTGTGGCGTCCATTTCACTGTACTAGTATACATTATTGTTTAGATGCCAGCTGAACCCCGCCTTTGGGTGCGTGATTTTCTCGCTGATTTGAACATAGATTGGTGGCCTTGGGATGTTGTTTTGCTCTTTGGTCGGGATGTTATTTCTTTGACACGTTCCCCTTTTCCTTTCTCTATTCTTTCAAAAGATATTTTTAAATATAAACACAAAACGATCTTCATCGAAGGTGCTCGAGTACCAATAGTCCAACAGTTTTTCACTGTTTTTAAATAACATTTGTTAAAATGTTAAAACGAAAGTCCGATAGCCCAAACTTTAATTACATAGATGATAATTAACCATAATTAAATATACATTTGTAAGTCGTTGAATTGCAAGATATTGTTTAAAAAATCACGAACAATAACTTCTGAGTAATGGAATGCGGTGGGTTAATTTTGCTATACATTATATATTTTTAATGCCTATTGTCTGAACAAGTTCTTAATTTTGTATTATATCGCTTTCATGCAAAGCTTTGATTCCTTGTCCGGAATTAACCAAACTAGGTCCTTTTGGTTTGATCAGCTCATCAACGTCTGTTTTAGGTTTTGCATTTTTAAATATTTTGGCCTCCATCATCACTGAAGTGACATTAATTGCCGAAATACGCATCTGCTGTAGTAACATTGCTATTACATGTGAATATTAGGTTGGTACACTGCAGTTATAATTAGTTTACTAAATAAAAAAAAATAGTTCATTTGAAGAATCCCATTTATTAATAACACTTTTACAATAAATGTAATGCTTTGGCTTACTTTTTTGTCCTTTTTGGTTTATAGCTCTTCAACTTTTTAATATGCTTTTGGATTTTCAAATGTTTGGCCTCGAGCATCACTGAAGAGACATTGATTGTCGAAATGCGGATCTGGTGCAGAAACATTGGTACCGTTTATGTTGTTACATAATTGCTATTAAAGAATTTTTTAATTGGATTTTAGGGTGAATTCAATATTAATATATCTTTATTCTCAATAAACCATATACATAGGTATAGAGAAGGCATTTATGTACAATATTTACAATAAGACAGAACAAACAAAACAATTGCTAAGACAATATATGAAGTACATTTTAGCCAGGAGCACATATACCTATGTTGATAATCTTTATAAATTTACAAAGTTTAATCAGTTCTGATTTGTGTTTTGAAGACATAATCTGCTTGTATTTAACAGTATTTGCATTTTTGAAATAGTAATGTGACATACAATGTTTCCTGTTTTCTTCAAAGTATTTGCATTCTAATATGTAATGAAATTCATCACCAATGTCATTTTTACTACATAGAAGACACAGTCTATTATTTCTAACTATATTATTCCATCTACCCTGTTCAATAGGGAGCTTGTGATTTGTGGTCCTAAATCTACAAAAATCAATAGACAGTTTGTTCCGAAGAATTTCAAAATAATCATCTTTTCCAAAAAAAATCTAAATATTCTAATCATAATTACTTGCAGATCAAAAAAAGCTAATGTGGGCATCATGTTTGACATCTGTTGCAAGAGTTTGGAGTCATATGCCTATGATCGAAAGCCTTGAACATCACCGCACAACGGAAGACAAAATAAATTTGATGAACCGTTTCTATGACAATTTGAAGACACGTCTACTTGAATGTACATTTGACTTAGACTACACAATTGCTGATCTAATCATATCTAAAACCTAAGTGTGTGTTTCTGCAGTGAACTCATTTATAACATACATGAGAATAACGTTTAGCAGGAGTTTAAATGCACTCTTTCACAATTTTTTGTCCACTTTTTAGTATCACAGGGATTCACAAAATTTGAAACCAGAAGAGAATATTGGGCACTGTCGAACAAAGGTTGTTAAACATGACACGATTCAGTCTAGTGTCCAAGAATTTCGAATTAAGTGTCGCGGAATTTCAAATAACGTTAAATCAAAGAGCCTTTGAACAGGTTTGTAATAATAAAGATACTTTACCGGTTTTCAAATATCTCACAAGTTTAAATATAAAGCAGACAACCATGAAGTGAAAATAAACGTAAAATGAAGCGACAGAGGGAAACCAAATCGGCTCTCGGAGTAAGCATTTCCTGCCATACATAAATTCAAACGATTCCAAAACCAGACCAGGTTGTAATATTTGAAAGAAGCAAAAACAAAACCCAAGATAAAACCGGTATAATCCAATTTGTTTAAATCTCCTTATCTCCTAACAAAAAAAATATACGGGATCTATGACAGAGTTAAAATGCCACGAGTGCGTTGAGATGGAGACAACGATCAAACAGTTCGTGAAGCGACAGTAGAACTTGTTAAATAAATATTGGGACAGTAGGTATATAGACTAAGTGTTCGGTTGAGATTGTGTTTTTCTAATGAATCGCTCCACTTTTTTTCGAATGAAGACAGTTTTTTCGGAGTGAAATTAAATACGATCAAATCAACTTATTTTATTTCGCAAGAATATCAGTTTTATACAATACTGCTTAAATTGTTTTTAATAATAATCAAGTTATAAACACATTGAGGACAAACTACGTATAATTGTATTTTATTTCACTTAAAATGAACTTTTTACATCGTTCGGGTTGTTTTTGTTTTCGAGTACTTCTACGGAGCCCTGTTGGTTTCATATCAATAAAGTGTTTATTAAAGTCTAGCGCTGGAGATGAAACAGTTTAGCGCTGTAGATTGTAAGTCAAGTACTGGAGATGTAAAGTCCAGCCCTGGAAATACAAAGTCAAGCGCTGGAAATGAAAAGTAGATATAAAGTCAAGCGCTGTAGATAAAAAGTCCGATGCTGTAGATATAAAGTCTAGCGCCAAAGATGTAAATATCAGCGTTGCAAGTGTAAAGTCCAGCGCTGTAGATATATTAAGTTCAAGCGCTGTTATTTTAAAGTCAAGCGCTGTAGATGTAAGGTTCAGCGCTGGAGATGTTAAGTCCAATCTGAGCGCTGTAGATATAAAGTCTATATAAATGAACGACAATTTTTGCAGAAAATTAAAGTAGTTGTGGTGTACGTGCTTTTTGTTTTTGTTTTTAAAGTAGTTTATTTGAACTTTTCATATTTTGTAACGCAAATGTATCAAAACATCACATTTTACACATTAGAAAAATGTTATTCACTCGATAAAACCTGGACGCTACCCGAAAAAAAAAACCAGACTGTTCTCGAAAAAAGCTTGACATATACAAATCAATTAATTCTCAAAATAACCTTATTCATCTACATACAAGTATTTCTTTTACTTTTAAGTGTCTCTAATTGAAAGGAGGACAAAGATGTTATGGACGCATTTTCTTTTATTTGTACATTCGTATGTGTTTTAAAATAATTCTTTTTCACATTTTGGAATAAAACCATTCAACTTGTATAACTTCAAAGTTGTCTAATGAATTCAGCAATTTTCAACTGATTTTTATAGTTCGTTCGTATGTTATGCTGTTACTACTCTTCAAGATTAGGAGCCCGAAAACATGTTTAACCTTGTCACATTTCGTAAATGCCTGTCCCGTGTCTGGAGCCTGTTATTCAGTGGTTAAAGTTTGTTACTGTATATCACATTTGTTGTTCGTATATTGTCTTGAACATAAATCAGGCCGTTAGTTTTCCCGTTTGGATTGTTTTACATTTGTCATTTTGGGGTCTTTTATGGCTTGGTATGGGTTTTGCTCATTATTGAAGGCCGTACGATTACCTATAGTTTCTTACTTTTACGTCATTGGTCTCTGGTAGGAAATGGTCTCATTGGCAATCATACCACTTTTCTATATTCAAACGATGTGTGGTTAATAACATCTGTTTATCACATGCGTTAAAATGCTTCTTATATTTATTTTGAGCTTCGGTTTCACGTCTTACCAGAAAAGATGTCTTTTTGTTAACATTTTGCATCATTAATCACTAGGAAAAACCTGGTTACATTGAAAACCCCCTATTACTATACTCGACAAAAACACGATCTGAGCAGGACACTATTTTAACCTTGAATGGTATAGATGTTGAGCGGATGTGTATACCTTGACGTTTGTTATATTGATTACATCCTGTTCTTCCGTCATTTCATTTGGCAAGGCATTGGTACAAATGAGCGTAACACTTTTTTTTCCATTAATCATCGTTTGGCATGAATAATTAGTGCAAAACATCGATATTCAAATTTACGTAGAATAAAAAAAAACCAATTACATTAAATGTTGAATTCATTTTAGCCCAGGTTCATATTGAAAATGTCTTTCGTTCCATGCTAAAATTCAAAGAATCTAAGCTTCGTGCGTGTTCTTCAAGTTTCTAACAACATTATGACGTAATGTAAACATGTGAATAATTTACATGTATAAACGACAAAAAACTGGGAGTAGGGCCACGAAGGGTTAAAAACGGCCCTGTCTCAGAAATTGACGAAATTACTGCAGAAGGATCACTAAGTAGTGTAGTTCATAAAACGATAACAATTAGACTTGTAACTGTGTTTGTATGTTTTCCAGGGCGTCAGAAAAGACCAAGGTACAATGGTATTTTAGCCATTTGCGCGTAACGTTAACATTGTTTTCAGTAACGTTCTAGTAACGTTATAATCATTTTACCACAATAATTTTTTTACAAAATATTTCTTGAATCTCGTCCATATATCTTGTTTTTTTTTAAACTCTATTAACAGAAACTTACTAATGATAAGGTTAAAGCTGCACATAAGCGCTACAATTAAATTTTGTATAAATGGCACGAATACTCGTTTTCTGTATTGATATTCACGAAATAGAAATTGCAGAGACTATGTAAACAAATATAATTCTATAGCAAAGATTAAATTAAAAGTCATAAAGGATTTTAAAACATAAGCAATGAATGTCTTCTATTGGGGAGAAGGAATTTAGATTAAAAGCTGTAAAATATCTTGGCGAGCGAAGTACAGCCGTAAAAAAGTATGAGGATAGTTGATCACACAACATCATCTTATTTGTATATGGAAAGAAAACCGTGATTCACTTAAACACGGAAAAGTTTATTTTCTAGTAAAAAAGTAAAAGATGAAAACACAGATAAAGATAAACGTTGTGTATAGACAGTACATAGCATTACATGTACCTCAATAATCATACTTTAGAACACATTATAATTGTACAAAAGTCACCAGACACCAGAACCCTACGTGCACTCATCATTCTCATTCCGGAAGATTACATGCTTATTCTCAACGCAACATTCAGAATTAAACACTTGAATGAACAATAGTTTCATATAATACTGCCATTCATACGTTACTGACCACATTACATAGTACTGCTATCTCTAATTGTACCTAATGCGCATGAAATAAGTAGTCATCTGTAGAAATTGAAATATAATTCTTTCAAATGGTTCAGTGAATCCTTTTTATATTCTCCCAGAACTTTTTTTACCAGACAAAGTAATAGTTTAAAGGCAGTGGCTATTTTGCCGGCGCCGCCAAAATTGAAAATATGCTATTTTGCCAAATCTCGGTAATCGGATGCCAGTATGCCAGTAAAAAAGATTTTGTTTACAGATATGCAATTCAAAACTACTTTTTTCAAAACTAAATTTAATCTAAACATTTTTGATTTTGAAGCTATGTGATTTATTTTTTAGACTGTATAACGTTTTTATCAAATCGATATGCTATGAGATTATTTATTCTTATGCATACATGTAGCATTAGACTGATTTTAGAAGCAATTTCATCTACATGTTTTGATATAATTTCACTGCTACAAATGGATGCTCAATAGTTTTTATTTTTGTTCCTTTTTACAAATTCTTATTTTCACTTGGACTCATAAATGTTTTTAAACGATTGTATATATCTCAGATATTGTGACATTTATCTTTTTCAACTATATGTCGAATAATAATTTGATTCTTTTATGTTGACAATGCACATTTTCGTAGTATTTTTCACAAGTAAATATTTAAATTCACTCTTTACAAAGAACCGGCAAAATAACAAATTCACTATATTGCCGGCGCCGGCAAAATAGTCATTGCTATCGAAATATGCTATTTTGCTTGTTCTAATGAAGATATTTTAATCAAAGACGACAACAGAGCATATAGCCACTGCCTAGTTTAAAAAACTCAAAAATTTGACAGAATACTCATTCTCAGTTGTCCATTGGAACGATTTCATTAAGCGATTTAGCTATATTCAATTACATCTATCCGACATTTGCATGTTTCTATCAATTACATTTTAAAAGAACAAATACTTTTATTATTTTATGATTCGTGTTATCTTAAAGGGGCATTAACTACGAGATATAGAAAAAAAAGGTTTTTTTTTGTTTAAATAAATCATTAATGAAAGTGGAATAGTGAAATAATAATTCGCTTTTAGCAGCCAATTTGGTTCAGTTTTGTCAAAATAAGCAAGGAATCATCACTAATGAATTATTGACTTGCTAGTGGATAATTCGACATCATTAGATAGTATTCATGTGAAGTTCTATTTAACCCTTTAGCTAGAGATGGGTTACGTATGAACTAGGCGTGTTCAGGTATTAAAAGAAAAAGAATGTCAACATTGGAAGTGAAACAAGAGTAAACCATTTGGTTGACTGATTCGATTTACAAAAACTCATTCTTTTACAGGTAAAAACGATTCTTAACATATAATTGATTTAACCTATAAAATCAAATCAAACAGACCTAGAAAAAATTGCACGAGTTTGCTATCTATTTATATCTTTGTTTATGTTTACATCGGATAAGATGACCGTCGGCGTTCTTCAGAAGGTCGCCTCGATGGTTAATTAGATGGCGTCTAGACTAAAATACACACGAAATGGTGATACATACTATCGAGTCTATGCATCGTAATTTTTTTTATTTCATACTTTTTTTAATTTTGATATACTTTTTAGTATGTTATAAGTCGAATATGAGAATTTGAGTCAAATCGGTGAACATGAATTTGACAGCTAATGCCCCTTTAAGTTTTTAACTGAAATT